CTGGATGGCCCTTGGGGTCTCTTCCAACTCTATGATTCTATGATCCCTACAGATGTGCTAGGTTTAGGCTAACACAGGATTGCTCCTCAGAAACAAAGAAGTGAACATTTTGCCAGCTGTTCTTATAAACTGAAATACAATCTGCAGGTAATAAAGTTGAACACCACAGGGGATTGCGAATCACGTCTGTGAAAGGGGCAGATTAAATTTGTTCTGGCCAGTTGGCAACCTTAATAATGAAATCAACGTTAGCTATTTAAAACTGGTTTTTGGCTTCCTTAACTTGGTACCAAATACTCAAGTACTATTCATACAATCTCAACAAACCTTCGGTAAATTCTAAGGGCTTTGGTTCTTTACTCCTGACAACAAGCTGTAATTCTGGGTGGTTTGGTCAGTTTGGCACACATTTGTAGTAGTAACAATACCATAAAAATGACGAGAAGAGAAGCATGAAGTGCTATAGATAGAAACAGGAAGGATGCATATATTCTCTGGGGGCAGAAACAGGCTCTACACAAGAATGATGTGAAATATGGCTAGTGGATAGCATGTCTCACAGGATCAGAGCGCCAGGGCTTTCTGAAAAGTAAGGAGGATGAAATTGTCTGCCAGCCCCCTCAGTTCTCCCTTTTTCCTGTAAACTTAATGCCAGTCGTCACAGAAGTGAGATTGAGATGGAGGGAGCACATCAACAATATATTGGTGTGAGCATTGTTGCAATACAAAATATTTGAAGGTGGCTTGGTCTCAAAGGGGCAATCAAAATCCACTAGCTTTACAAAAGACCTGCTTTTGATAGGAACAAAATATGCTACAACTGGATCAACACAGCTGCCTGCACTTGGCGTTCTCTTACCACTATACCACTGTTTGGGCTAGTGCATCAATTTAAGGCAGGTCAAAGTCTCATACTGGAGCAGCTTATTTATATACAGAAAATGACCAAGGGATTTTTGCAGACAGACCTCCCCTGCCTTCTTCCAGCTATTTGAACCTGGCTCCTGAGCATTATTACAGTTCCCAGATCCCAGGCTCTGAGAAGCTAACGTAATACCTAAGTGCTTTTAATGTGATGGATTCCTCTTTAGAAGAGGGTAGGAAAGGAGGCTGTTTCATTTGTTCCACTGGGAATGCACATGTTCAAGTAAAGATCCCAAACCTTCGACTGCGGGAGCCACCTACCTCCACATATCACCTGGACCCTTCATCCTAAGACATTCTGTTCTACTCCACTATCTAGTCTACCCACTTAATCTATTACCTCCCCCGTAGCCCAATCCAAAATCCACTTAAAGGCAGTGATTGACTCATATTATACTGAAATCAAAGCTTGGCAAAGTTTAGTTCTAGACCAGAGGGAATACTTCCAATTGGAGCTTGGAAGGGTTACTTTTTTTGGACTGCAACACCCAAAACCCAAGCAGCCAGCACGGCCACTGATCTTTGGTCTAGAACGACAGTTCATTGGCAAAACATAGATGCCCTTCTATTTAGAAGACTTCAAGAGTTTTCCTATTCAAAGGGCCAATGGGTACGATTTAGGAAGCCCCCTTAAGTGCTGCAACCATTCAGAATAAATAATGCTGTACAACATGGATGCTTGATCAGCGTGGCGCAATGATTTGAGTGTTGGACTATGACTCTGGAGACCAGGGTTCGATTCCCAGCTCAGCCGTGAAGCCTGGTGGGTGACTTTGAGCAAGTCACATGCTCTCAGCCTCAGAGGAAGGCAATGGCAAACCTCCTCTGAACAGATCTTGTCTAGAAAACCCCAGGATACATTCACCTTTGAGTCGCCCCAAGTCAGAAATGATTTGAAGGCACACAATACACACAAAGCAGCTTCATATATTTAGTTTATACCATCCTTTCAAACATTTACCCCAATATGGCCAGGAGGAGGTTGGGCTAATAACATATTGAGCAAAATCAAGGGATAAATCTTATCCAGTGATAAATCTGGTCGAGTTATTTTGAGCTGCAATGGGACGATTGGTTAGGGTGCATCAACACTATAGAAATAATGCAGTTTGACACCACTTTTAGTGCTGTAGATCCATCCTATGGAATCCTGGGATTTGTAGTTTTACAAGGACTTTAGCTTATTCTGCCAAAGAGTGCTGGTGCCTCCCAGAACTACAAATCCCAGGATTCTGTAGGAGGGAGTCATGGCAGTCAAATTGCTATCAAACTATATTATTTCTACAGTGTAGATGCACCCTAAGTTAAATTTAGTGGCAGGGAAAGTTCTACAAATAGAAACCTAGCCTTTGGGATACAGCAGTTCATCCTAATGTGACTCACCCAACGTCACCCAGTGGGTTTCTGTGGCTGAGCAGGGATTCGAACCCTGCTCTCCAGAGTCATAGTCCAATGTTCACTACACCACATGGGATCTCTTGAAGTGTTGTAAACTATGCTCTGCTGCTTGTATAGATGAGGGCTCTATCCAGCCATTTAATTGCCCTTTAACACTGGCCATGTCTATACTACAAATCTAAACTGAAGGTGCATCTACACTGTAGAAACAGTGCAGTTTGACAACTGTCATTGCTCGATCCTACAGAATCCTGGAATTTGTAATTTTGTGGGGCACTAGCATTCTTTGGCAGAGAAGGCTAAAGTCCTTGTAAAACTACAGATCTCAGGAATCCATAGGATAGAGTTACAGCACTTAAAGTGACATCAAACTGCATTATTTCTAGAGTGTAGATGCACCCTGGGTTAGTAAGTCAACTGACCTCCCCTTGGGAACACTGGCAACCACTATTCTTTGAGGAGACTACAAATCACAGTCAGTTCTCAACTTTCACAAATCTGCAGCTCTCACAAGTCCCTTGAGTTACACTGGTTTGCCAGCAGTTTCATTTTGCATTACGCATGAGTACCCAGATCCAAAACACAGAGCACAAATGAACCATCTTGTTGATGGGGGCGAATCTCAGATTAGCTACAAATGTTAAGACAAACCCAGATTTATATACAGAATATCATGTAAATTGAGGCTGCATAAAGCAGTTTACTTATTGCTATTTATTCCACTTTTTTGATATGGGTTTCTCTTTCCTGCTCTTTTCCAGAATCCAAAACACTGTGGCAAGGATAGGAGTACCAGGGAGGACAGAATTGGTATTTCTTTTCCATCTTAAGAGCTTCTGTATCTTAACTGGGAGCACAGCAAGCAGTAACTCAATAGACTGGGGAGTTGCAAAACTTTACCAGCCAAATTTCCCGATTTTCAGGCATGAGGCAGAGACCTGAAATAGGTAGGATGAAATGGGTAAAAACAACTAGGAAGGGCACAGGTATCACAAGGAGTGCCTTATCAAAACTGATCCATAAATGAAGTGGTCCAGGGAATGTTTCACTTCAAAACTGCAGATGGAGAAGTGCCATTTGGAGTCCGTCACCTCTGGCAAATATTTCATATGAATAAAAACAAACACATCAAGGAGAATGATTCTATCTCAGTTCATTCTCTGGTATGCTAGCTTTCTAGCTGCAAGGAAGGTTCGCTGAAAGGGAACATTCAATGTATTTTTTAAAAAGAACTCCACGTATCATCTGCAATGACACTTCCCATTCTTCCCCTCATAATTCTGCATTTCATTCCATTATAGATGGTCCTCTATAGCCACAGATTCTTTATCCATGGATTCAAGCATCCATGGCTTAAAAATATTCAGAAATAATATAACTTCCCAAAGCAAACCTTCTTTTTTTGCCATTTAATATAATGGACACCATTTCACTATGCCATTGTGTTTAATGGGACTTGAGCATCCACAGATTTTGGAATCCATGGGGGGGAGTTCCTGGAACCAAACCCCAGAGGATACCAAGGGCTTACTGTACATGTTTAAAATAGTAATTCTTCTTCACCCACAATAACCAAACCTAACCTGCAGTTTGGCAGCACTTTGACTGTCCTGGCTCCTTCCTATGAAATCCTGGAATTTGTAGTTTCTTGTGGCACCAGAGCTTTCTGACAGAGAAGGCTAAATATCTCACAAAGCTACAAATCCCAGGATTCCATAAGATTACACCATGGCAGATAAAGTGGTATCAAACTGCATTAATTCTGCAGTGTAGATGCAGCCCCAGGCATCACAACAAGGCAAAGTGCAAGGGAATTCCACTGTAGATGAATTTGCATCTACTAATGCATCCCACCTGCAGAAGGAGCAGACAAGCCACTGAATCCAGGACTTGTTGGGAAGTAAACAAGATAAGAACCAACTTTCTGTGGCCCTCTCAGATTACATAGTTACAGCACTACAATTCCGCTTGAATTGCCCAGACTCCATCCTATGGACTCCTGGGGTTTGTAGTATGGGAAGGCATGGTCTACTGGTTTGAACATTGGACTACGACTTTGGAGAGCAGAGTTCAACTCTCCAATTGGCCATGGAAACCCACTGGGTGATCTTGAGCAAGTCACACTCTCTCAGCCTCAGAGGAAGGCAATGGCAAACCTCCTCTGAAGAAACTTGCCAGGAAAACTCCATGATAAGGTTGCCAAAAGCCAGGAACAACTTGAAAGGCACACAACACTGCAAGACACTGGAGTTCTTAGGATGAGAATTCTCAGTCCTCTTTAAATTGCAAATCCCAGGATTCCATAGGATGAAATCATGGCAGCTAATGTGAAATCATAGCTCTATAACGGTGTAGTGTATAGTGATGTTAGCTTCTTCGTCTGCAAATGGGAGCAACTGGACAACACATGTTGCTTGTCCTCAGTAAGTTAATGTTTCCACAGTGCTCTGGTTTAAAGTGACATTCAAATGTGAACACTGCCATAAAGGTTTCTTGCAAAGGTAGTGTGAGTGGGAAATATCAAACAGGCTGTTGCTATTCCTGTTTTTCATGTCCAGAAATGAAAATTGGTGTCTTGAGTTTTCTATTAAGATCACTAACACCCAGCTGGCACATCGTTGCTGTGGGTCCTTTCACACTACACAATTATAGCACTACAATTCCACTTTAACTGCCATGGCAACATCTCATGAAATCCTGGGATTTGCAATTTGGGTAGGAGTATTTTTTAATTCTCCAAGAGCCAGCATGGTATAGTGGTTTGAGTGTTGGAATATGACCCTGGAGACCACAGTTCAAATCCCGGCTCCGCCATGTAAACCTCTGGGTGAACTTGGGCAAGCCACACTCTCTCAGCCTCAGAGGATGGCAATGGCAAAAACTCCTCTGAAGAAACTTGCCAAGAAAACCCCATGATAGATTCACTGCCTTAGGGTCACCCTAAGTTGGAAACGACTTGAAGGCACACAACAACAATTTTGAATTCTCTGCCAGAGAGCTCTAGTACCACACCAAACTACAAACCCCCAAATTCCACTGGATGCAGCCACAACAGTTAAAGTAGAATATAACACTATAATTGTGTAGCATGAGGAGGCCCTATATATTTCAACTGCTAGATGGGCTCACTTTCCTCTCCTCTGATAGCCTGCTTTCCTTTTCAATTTAGCTCCATTTCAGAGCTCTACTAGGCTCATCAGACAACTTCCATGGCTCACTACAGCCTGTGCAGACTGACCTAAAGGGCTGGCCTGGGGGTGGACTTGGGGTGGGGTGACCGCACACCAGCCGCCCCGACGCCGCACGGCGTGTAGTGTCAGGGCACCCCGATGGTGCAGCATGTACACACGCTGCGCCAAAGGGGTGCAAAAGAGCCACAGTGGTGGCACTAAGGTCGGCTTTTTGCCACCCAAAAAGGAGCAGCATTTCCCAACTCTTTTGGGATTGGCAAAAAGCCGAATCGGGGCCGCACCTTATGGTTGCCGCGGCCCCGATACGGCTCCCAGGGCGGCACAGAGAGGCCGTCTGTATGGCCCTTAAAGCCACACATCTAGCCACTGACTACAATCCCATGAAGCTGCCTGGCTGCAGCAGCCATGGTGTTCTTCTTTGAGACAAGGGACCACAACAACAACCTCTGAAGGCATAGCCTTACAGAGGACGATGGGGTGAGATGGTTTAGGATGCCATAAATAGTGACAGTCTAGCTCTGTGGTATACAATTCACCTGCACCCTAAACCAGCATCCCTTGATGGATGGAAACTTATAGGACTATCACTTGTTGTTGTTAACCACCCTTGAATTAATTTCGACCCATGGTGACCTTATGGATGAAAGATCTCCAAGACTCCCTAATCTCCACTGCTCTGCTTAGTTCCTGCAAACCCTTAATACCTGTGACCTCCTTAATACAGTCCATCCATCCACTCTTTCTACTTTGCTTTTTTTCCCAATGATTCATGCCTTCTCATGATGTGGCCAAAGTACGACAGCCTCAGTTTAATCATCTTGGCTTCTAGGGAGATTTCTGGCTTGATCTGCTCTAGACTATCTGCTCTAGACTATTGTTATACAGTCAGCCCCCCCCCCCCCCCCCCCGGTATCCACAAATTCTGCATCCACAGATTCAACCATCCACAGCTTGAAAATATCTATTTTTTAATAAAATTATCCAAAAAGAAAACATTAATTTTTATCCACAGATTCAAGCATCCATGGCTTGAAAATATATATATTTTTAAATAAATAAATTACGGTAAGCAAACCTTGATTCTGCCATTTTATATAAGTGATGTATTTAATGGGACTTGAGCATCCACGGATTTTGGTATCCACAGGAGAGGTCCTGGGAATAG